AGATGACCGACATCAGGATGTGGCTCCAGGTAACCTTGGCACTTCCCCTGAAGGGGTGAACCCGGTGACCTGTTCCTGGGTGTGCCGGTGGAAATTCCATTTCTTAGCTAGCTGAGCCCTAAGCCATCCCCATCTCAGAGTAGTACCTAAGACCCAGCTGGAGGAGGAGGAGGAGGAGGAGGAGGAGGAGGAGGAGGAGGAGGAGGGGCTGGAAGAAGAGGAGGAAGAAGAGGAGGAAGAGGACAAGAGGCCTGAAATTCCATGGGTTTGTTCCCTGCCCCAAGAAAGCTTTCTCCTCAGAGGCCTTCCTAGCCTGTCCTGTCCCTACTCGCTCTTGCTGCAGACATGACTCAGGACTCTACCCCTGGGTATCTGTCCTCGGCTGGCCCTTCCCCACTAGGATATCTCCCAGTGTTGGTAGAGGACTTGGTAGAAGGTGAGGGTGGTGGCCCAGCCCAAATTGATCCTGGTCTGGTTGTCACTGTACTCAGCCCTCTATCCTCTTCAGAACCTGCTGACCCTAGAACCGGCACACCCAGGAACAGGTCACCGGGTTCACCTCTTCAGGGGAAGTGCCAAGGTTACCTGCAGTCATATCCTGATGTCGGTCATCGAGGCTGTCCCAGGATGAAGCAGGGGTGGTGATCACTGACTGAGAGTGTTCAAACCCCCATCATCTCTAAGTCATGGCAAGGCTATCAGAGAAATAGTTGTAGAGCAAAGAAGGAGGTGGGGGACAAAATTGACTGAGCAGAGGGACCTGTTTCCACCTCTCCAGGGATCAGAGGCTGCTCTTGGGGGTCATGATGACTTGTGGTGGCGATGAAGGTACTTAGGGGTGGTGTTTGTTCATTATCTGTTACTACTGTGGGACACCTTGTTCTCTGCTCATAGCCCAGAATCATTCTTAGTGCAAAGTCTTAATGAAGTTGATAAAGCTATTATCGAGGTCTTGGGAAAGAATAAGTTAGATTGTCAGCTAATACTTAAGAGATAGTAGTCCCTCTCTATCTGACTTGGTTATTCAGTAACCAGCATATGGTGAAGGAGGTGGGACTCTAAGAAGTGCCACCTCTTGCTAACAAAAAGACTAACAGGGTCATGGGACAGCTGTAGTCTTGGAGCATTCCCCGACATGTTCCTTGGCCACTGGACTGCTTGTCCAGTCCAGCTCTGCACTGGGGTAGCCATTCCTTGCCCTGTGGCTCTACAAGTCTTCTCCCTGCACCTCCTATGGGGCTTCTGGTTCCTGAGAGAAGAAAGGGCTTGTGAGAAGTGAAACCTGCAGGTCCTGCCCTGCTCAGAGTCCTCAGCTGTGAACTTGAGTTCCTTGAAGTCTCAGTCTAGCTCCACCCTTAACCTACACCCCCCATGTTCCTAGGCCCCTTTGATGACATCATCTGGGGCCCTTGTCATGAACACCTAATGTGCCCTGAAAGGAGCACTGACTAGTAAGAAGGAGGCCTAACTCCAACACTGCTGGGGCCCAGCAGTCTTATGAGCTTAACCTTCTACCCTCCAGAGGCCAGGCAGGAAGCCCCAGAGGAAACCAGTGTCAGGCTAACACCATACAGCACAGGTTAGAAACCCTGGCTCTCAAGGATCCTGTGTTTCTTACTAACTTAGGGGTCAGGTTTTTGGTTGGGAAATTGGGATCTAGGTTGGGCAGGTCCCCGCAGAGCTGGGAAAAAAAAAATCACAGATCAGAATACCAGTATGGACTGGCTGATCTTCCTGTCTGCCCTGAGGAAGATCTCAGCTCCTCAGAGTCACTTTCCTGTATGGTTGCAGACTCTCTTGCAGCTACCCCACCCTCCGTAAACAAGGGAAGGAACTAGCAACCCTAGGTCTTTGTGTCCTAGGAGACTTAGGTAGGCATCCTCAAGAGATAGGGTGTAAGGGCTAATGGCCTCCAACTTTCTGCCAGGCAATGAAGTCCTGGAACTCCCCTTGTAAAATCAGGAGCTCCAGTTCTTCTTCCCGTGCTAATGTGAAACAACACCAGCCGTTTTTTAAGTGTCCACTGGGTATCAGGAATGCTGTAAGATCTGTAACAAGCCATCTGTCAGTACTTCTGTGAACAAGGTGAGAAAGCCCTCCTCCAAGGAGTAAACAGGTTTACTCCTGCTGTGTATCTATAAGTGGCTAGCAGGATGGAAAGGCACATGGATGGGCACCACCCCACAGTGAGGAAGCTCCCATTTGGCTTCACCCGGCTCATAGCCAAAGCTCCCACTCCTAGGAAGGCCTCACCCTTCCAGTGTCTTCTCTTCCTCTTCAAGAGATAGCCCAAACTCTACCTCTTGGCACACAGAGCCCTGCCTGGCCTGGGCCCTACCTCATCTAGCCACTTTTGCTTCTGTGCTTGGTTCAGTCTCCTCTTCCACTCTTCCAGATATCCTTAGCCGTGCAGTGTTCCCACACTGGCAGTGTTATTTCACGCCTGTGCCTTCGTGATGCTTCTTTCCTGGCCCATCTCCCAGCCGTGGTTGACCTAGCCATCTCCTGCTTGATTTTGAAAGCAACCATATCACCTGGAACCTTTTCCTGACACCACTTCTATCCCACCACCGGGTTTGGTGTCGCTCCTGTGTTCCCCTGGGACAAGGCTTCCTGCTGTTATGACACAGTCACTCCAATTCTCCCCATGTGTTTGTTTCCCCCACTGACCTGTGAACTGCAGAAGGCAGGGCCTTTCTTCCCATTTTTCTTGCAGTGGCCCGATCCCTAGTGTGACATGGTAGGCATAGAAGTGGTTGCAAGGGAAGTCTTGTTTTTTCCAAGAATATTTGGATTTTTAGATTTGGCCATTAGTATGTCTGTTCTCTGCGATGGCTTTTCCTACCTACGGTTGGAAGGGTCAGAGCTCTGGACGGAACAGATAAGGATTGAGATCTGGGAACTCAGGTGGGAAGAAGCCAGGGAAAAGTGGGCTGGACCTGCCTCCCTGGGACGCTCCTGGTGTGTGGGAGTAATGCAGTGTGGATATTGGGAGTTGATGTGAAGGGAAGGGTTCAAACAGCTGGCTTGGCCTTCTTCGTGCCTCCTCAGTTGTTTGCAGCTCATGGGGCATCTAGCATGTCTGCTGAGGTACAGCCTCTGACTTCCCAGGTAACACTGGGGTCTTCTGTTGACCAGTCATCACTGGTGTGCTCTCAGGGGATCCAGTGGGACTTGCGTCCCTAAAGGTCTTAACCGGAAAAGACCTGATATGTCATGACTGTGACCACACACATCTGTGGCACTGGCACCTCTGTGTGGTCAGCCAAGATGAGTGACCACACAAGCAGAGCTGTGTGGCACTTAAAGGTGGTACCTCAGGTACCCAAGGACTGGGATGAGGGTGACATAGGTGGGGGTGGGGCTGATGCCACAATCTATGTGCCCTTGAAGAAGCCAGAAGCAGAAAAGGCTTGCCTGGTGAGTGAGTGGAGGTTGCCAGTCAAAGCTGCCTGCTTTATCCTGGATTAGGCAACATCCCAGTTAACTATAAGGTTGCAGATTCTTTTCATCTATTGCTTTTTTGCCCAGGCTAGCTGTGTACTCTCTCTAAAGTTTCTCAGAAGATTCTAGAAATTCCTGAACTAGGAATTAGCTAGATGGCAATTGGTAGACCTGGAAAACTTTGGTGTCACCAAGCTTTTTGATGTCAATCACTGGGACAGGCAGGCGTCTGGGGTAGTCTTGGCTTCCTTGACATCCCTAGAAGACCTGTGTGAATTCACATAGGTACCTTAGGAACAAGTAGCCAATGAGGTACTTTGAGATTGGGTCTCATTCTGTAGTCCAGGCTGGCCTCAGAGTCCCAATCCTCCTGCTGCCTCAGCCTCCTGAATTCTGGGACAACAGGTGTACACAACCATCCAAGGTTTAGAATTAAGAATACAGCACAGAGAATAGAAACAGATACCTAGGTAGGAAATTTAAATCCAGGGTGAATCGAGACAGAGTTTGGTAGCTCAACTCAATTCAGGCTCTGCAGAAACACCTTTCATTTCACAAGAGGTGGCCTGCATTGCTTAATTACATGCTTGGGGGAAGTGAGTTTGGAGGCAGATTACCAGACAGAGCAGGGTGAGCATCCAATATCTGCCTTACATCCATGAAGCCAAGGGAGATGAGCGTTCCAGGGCCTGCTCACCCTTTCCCCCACCCTATTATTTAATGAGCAGAGGCTTCTGCTGTCTAACATTTTCTTTCAGGCTGGTTTGTTTGCTGGTGGGTTGAAACCACCCTCAGTCCCATTCTGAGATCTGTTTTCCATATACCTCCTGGTTCCCGGTTGCTGAGTCAGTTCAGCTGATGCCTTGCTGGGGAAACAGTGACTCAGCAGGGTGCTGCAGGATCCTCCGCAGACCCTTGGGTGGGTGGGTATGCTGCTGTGGAAACTTTGAGAGACTCCCTATCAGACTGCTTTTTCCATCTGGCTGGCCCATGAGATAGGCAGGAGGGCAGAGGAGGGAGCGTGGGTTGTGTGAGCCACAGAGGAAATAACGGTTTTTCTGTCCAGTGGAATCGACTGGCCAGGGACCCTGAGGGAGAGGACTCAGGTCTTGTCACCAGCCATTTCGGCTGAGTCATCTCTTCCTATAGTCCGGGCCTAGTTTGCTGTCATCTAAGTGCAAGGGAAATATGGACCTCACTCTGCAGACAGACCCGTCTCTCCTTTAATCCCACCCCATGCCCGTCTGTGGCCATACCTGTTCTACACAAACAGACACTAAGACAGCATTGCCTCAGAGAGACCCTAGAGGGACTAAGAGGTTGGAAAGAAGGTGGCAGGAGTGTTTTTTGTTTGGTTGTTGTTGTTGTTGTGTGTGTGTGTGTGTGTGCATGTGCAGTGTGCATAAACAGAGGTCCTTTGCTCCCAGACACTCCTGGCCTCTGCCCCAGGAACTTATGTCTAGAAGAGAGCCTGAAGGCAAAGTGTTGGCGGTGCTGAGGCCTTGAGGATGCTGTAGCCTGACTTCTGACTTCGGGGATGCTCCTCTCTCCTCCAGGTTCCGTGGCTTCATCCTGCTGCTTACCTTCCTCATCTATGCCTGTTATCACATGTCCAGAAAGCCCATCAGCATCGTCAAGGTGAGGCTGGTTGGTAAGGAAGAATTCGGGGCATGCTGGGCCTGGCAGGTGTGTGCTGCAGTGGGATGCCCTAGACCTCCCAACCTACTTTTATCCTGGTCACTGGGCCTGACCCTTCCACCTGGCAAATACCCATTGTTGGTGACTCTTACCTAAAACCCTCCTGCAATGTTTCCTACACGTTCCTTTTGAGTTCACCTCCCAGACAGCACCGTTGGTTGGTGTGGGTAAGCTAAGAAGGCAGGGGGTCCAGGCTCTGTGGATTCCATTCATGAATATTGGTCGGCCACCTAACCCCCACTGGAGAAGGTACTGGCAGGAAGGAGCATAGACTGTGGTCGGAAGCAGTGGTGTTTATGATTGAGTCGAAGGTTTCTTGCTTCTCTCTGGGCCAAGTGGGCTCCAGGAGATGGTATGACCCTTGACCCGTTTATGCCATTGCCTTCTAGAGCCGCCTGCACCAGAACTGCTCAGAGGTGGTCAGACCCGTTAACGACACCCATGATCCCAATGATACCACCTGGTGCAGCTGGAGTCCATTCGGTAAGAACAGGGCACATGCCACCTCTTAAGCCCCAATCCCTCCTTGGAAGTGAAAGGGACTTTCCTGAGGGGGCAGCCACCCAGCCAGGTTTCTGTCCTTTTCATCTGCTTTCAGACAAAGATGACTACAAGGAGTTACTGGGAGCTGTGGACAATGCCTTCCTAGTGGCTTACGCCATTGGCATGTTTATTAGGTAAGAGAAACACAGAGCCCCTGCCCCTTGGGGAAGCCGGGGGTGGGTGGGTGCTTCATAACTGCTATTTCTCCTGACTGACCTGGGGCTGCAGGCTAATGTGAGAGAGATGGCTCTGTGTGGGGCTGAGGCCAAGGCTCCATCCAAGCCATCAGCCCATGGCCAGCCTTCTTCCTTCTCTGTGATCACCAAACAGTTCTTCCTCCTGCTGCTGATGGACTCCAGCTATTAGCAGGCCCTTTTCTATAAAGCTTCATGGATGCTCCATTTAAGGAAGTGTTGGTGGGTATGACCAGGGTTCTCTAAGCACAGCCCTGGACATGTCGATTCCCAAGGAGAGCTTACCCACTGCTGTCTAAACTATACAACCAGTGTGGGTGTCACTCAGCAAACAGAGTTTGCTGCCAGCCATCACTGATAGACAAGGCAGGGTGTGGCCTTCAAGGAGGTCACAGCATAGCAGAAGGACCCTCAGCTTAGCAGTTAATTGAACACTGTTGAAGTGTTGGGTAGTCACGTAGCACAAGCTTGGATTGGAGACAAGGAGTTAAGGAAGGCATCGGAGGAGGTGAGCCTTGAGATGTGCAGAACCATGGGTGTTGGCAGTGAGGAAGGACACCCAGGCTGGAGATACCGGAGAGCACAGTGAGGAGAGTAGGGAACAGTGTGGACGGCAGGTGGAGCCTTTCACAGGGTCACCAGAAGGGGTACAGAAGCAACAGCCAGAGACAGGGCTAAAGGATAAGATAGTTTGCAAAGAGCCTGCTCCAGAGTATGGAATGGGAGAACCATTGAGCGAGGCATGAGGGAGAAGCTGAGGTAGGATTGAGGCAGACAAGGAAGGTTGCAAGCTAGCATGACTGCTGTCTAAGCTGCCGAATTGGGGGGGGGGGGGAACAGGTGGTGTTCAGAGGCTCCCACGATGAAAGGAGGGAGAATTCAGAGAGTGTTGAGTGTGCATTTCGTTAGGGATAGCCAAGTAAAGGTATCCAGAAAGCAATCTGAATATGACCCGGGAGCACGAAGGGACCCATGGGACCCAAATACATGCAGGAGGGGATGTTTCATGCATCATGCCAGGTAGAACCACCAAGTTGACGACAGAGACTGTGCTGGCAGGAAACACGTGACATGGAGTGGTCAGCCAAACAAGGAAGGACATGGGCAACAGAGTTGTCAGGGTCATGTCAAATAAAGCAGACGATCCCTGGAAGGGAGGACGGGGGTCAGCCTTGGAACACAGTAGGACACAGATCAGCACTGACCACCATGGCCACAGTGGCTTCAGTAATATGGGCCTAGAGAGGGGGGTAATAGAGTGGACATAGCATTAACCTGGAGCTCACCCCATCTTTCTCTCCAGTGGAATCTTTGGGGAGCGGCTACCCCTGCGTTACTACCTCTCAGCTGGAATGGTGCTAAGTGGCCTATTCACCTCCCTCTTTGGCCTGGGTTACTTCTGGAATATCCACATGCTCTGGTACTTTGTGCTCATCCAGGTATGAGTCTGTGTAGCGCTTGGGTCTTTGCTCCCCTCAAAGAGAGGTCCCTTTGGGTCCCTGGCCATCCCCAGGTCAGAGCAGACGGAGACTTGATCTCCTTGTTCAATCCCTTCTGTCACCCTGCTCAGAACCCTGTTCCAATCCCCCAAAGTCTCAAATGACTGGCTCAGTGAGCTTGCCTTGGGTACTGTACTGAATCTGCCTGGGATGCATGAGAAGTTAGGTCTCAGCTCACACGATCTTGAGCTAGGAGAAGCCAGCTGGTGTGACACTGTGTGTGGATGTGCAAGTGAGGGAAGGGCGTGATTTGCAGTGTGGGGTGTGTGGAGGGTTCCTAGCTGTTTCATTGAACCACCTCTACCCAAGGCGCTTGAGGTAACTCTCACCCCCCCTTCCTTCTCCTACAGATCTGCAACGGGCTTGTTCAGACTACAGGCTGGCCGTCTGTGGTGACCTGTGTTGGCAACTGGTTTGGGAAGGGAAAGTGAGTGTAATGGGGGAGTGCGAATGACCCTGATGGGGGACACCGGATGGTGAGGGTTCTGGAGTAATTTCAGGAGAAAAGATTAGCAAAATGTGTCTTCTTGCTGGGTCTCACCCACTGAGAAGAAATGTCTCTGAGGCTAAAGAGCAGTGCTATTTCTCTGTCTTTAGGATCTAGCCCACAGAGCAGGCAGCCTTAGTTATAATTCCTATAACGGGTGAATTTCCATTTTTGATTGAAGATAAAAGGCTCCACCACTCTGTTCTTTTAGACTGGCTTTTGTGTTAGCTTGCTTCAGTTTCTCGCCCTCAGCTCTGATGGTCTGAGCTGTTCAACTGTTGGCTCTGGGGGGTTACTGTTTTTTTCAGTATGCATGGCATCTCCCCACTAGATGCCAGTAGCAAAACACAGCAAGTTATGGCCATTGAAAATCTCCAGGTGTTTCCAGATGTCCCCCCCGGGGCCGAAACACCCCCCCCCCCCCCCCCCAGTTGAAGACTACTGTTTTAGAGTGATATTGACGGGCAACAAAGAGAAGAACGAAAGCTCATGATCTCCCTGTGGCCAGAGTTCCCATCTGTGCTTATCCTAGGGGCAGGCTAAAGCAATGGCCCCCAGGCAGTGCTATCACCTGCTTGACAGCAGCCTGGGGCTTTGCTGCACTATCCGGGGACTCTGAGAATATCAGTTGTGGGTACATCCCAAAGACTAGAGGCAGCCAGCCTTTTGAGCTTGGCTAGGCCTGTTATTTATTTATTTATTTAGGTTTTTTTTAGCGTAAAATTAATTTTATAACTTAAAGCTAATTTAAAATAAAATTCAATCAATGAAAAACATACACACATCACTTATATATTTTTTGTGTGTTTTTTTATTTTATCTTATTTTACTTATCTACTTTACGTGCCGCCCACTGCCTTCCCTCCAGTTACCCCCCTTCTCGTCCCTTCCCTTCAGGCGAGGATTCATCATGGGCATCTGGAACTCGCACACATCTGTGGGCAACATTCTGGGCTCCCTGATCGCTGGAGTCTGGGTGAACGAGCACTGGGGCCTGTCATTCATCGTGCCTGGCATTATCACGGCCGTCATGGGCGTCATCACCTTCCTCTTTCTTATTGAATGTGAGTGGACACTTCCCACCCCCCACACACTCTAAGGTTGTACATGAGACGAAGCAGATGGATACCATGTGAGCATTGCTGCTCAGGGTGTTGGATGACTAGCTCTGTGGCCCTGAAACTGTCTTTTCATCTGTAAAGCGACAGTAATGCTTGCTCCATAGGATTTCTGAAGGTATGAGAGGGACAACGTAGCTTTAGTGTTTTCTCTGTAGTGTGTGCTCTGCCAAAGGGCTGTGTAGACAGCTACTGGGTTTTCCCCACTCTCTGACAGCCTTGAGTTGGCAAGATTACAGCTACTAGTCCAAGAGGCAGTTAGGACATGGTTTCTAGAAGAGTCAGGCAGGCCTAGATAGCCTACTCCCTTAATGCTGGGGGGCCACATGGGACTTGTGAGGCTAACTCTGCACTAGCTTGGACCCATTGTAAAGTGAGGGTCTAACCTATTGGCAACCTTAGAAAGGTACATGTTTATCCCCCCCAGATCCAGAAGATGTGGACTGCACCCCTCCTCGGCATCATGTGAGTTTGCTAGCCCAGCCCTGGCCCTGTCCTCCTCACCACATCCCGGGAACTGACCATGGGAGGGCCAGAGTTGGAGGAGAGAGCTGTGGTCTTCTAGTGACTTCACAGACCCAGTTTGGGGCTCTTAGGTTAAATGCCCCACAACCTGATGCTCCTGCCAGCCCAGGAGAGAGACACACATCTTCCCCAGGATAGGCATCCCCTACCTCTCAACAGGGCTGCCCTTCCCCTTAGAGAAGGTTGGTTATGGCCCTGCCCACAAGGAGGGACCATCTTCTTTACTCAGGACGACCCGGAGAAGGAACAGGACAACCCTGAGGATGCTGTGCACAGTCCCTACAGCAGCAGGGACAGTACTGTGGACATTGCAGCCAGCTCCTCCAAGGAGCAGGGCCCTGAGCCTGAAGCCATCAGTTTCCTGGGGGCACTCAAAATCCCGGTGAGAGGCTTGTGGAATGAAAGGAAGAGAATCTCTAGTGTTTTTCATTAGATTCGAGGGGGTGGGGTGCTAGGGGTGACAGGCGGTTTCAAGGAGTTCCATCCAGACTCTGGGGGGAGCCCCTTGAGAAGGACAGGGTATAGAGGAGGCCTATCTTGGCATGATATGCAGCATTAGATGCACTGCTGCCATTAGGACGGGTGCATATTTGAGGTTGCTTTGGGTGGAAATGATGATAGTCGTGGGGTAGCGCTAGTCACCTGGGGACCACCACTAGACTGGGGAATCTCTTGAGCCCCTTTCCATCGTGTCCGTCTTGTGTTTCCCAGGGCGTGATCGAGTTCTCTTTATGTCTGCTCTTTGCCAAGTTGGTCAGCTACACCTTTCTCTACTGGCTGCCCTTGTACATCTTCAACGTGGGTAAGTCCCCGGGGAAGAGGAGCTGAGAGAAAGGGTCTCTGAGGAGGCCAAGGCCACTTCTGGTGCAGAAAGGACACCATACTTGGGTTTCATTCCAGTACACAGGCAAGGTTGAGCCCCATGTATGTCTGCAGCCACCTGGCCCCTAGGAGCTAGTTGGGCATTAGGAACAAAAACAATGGTCAACTTTGCTGGCACCACGATTCAGAGAGCCATACCCCTTGCCCAAGATCTTTTACCCAGAGCTGCTTTCCTCTTTCTCAGCTGTGGGAAGAGACAGCAACTGTCTACACACACACACACACACACACACACACACACACACACACACACACAAAACACATGTACTCTGAATGGGAGACCAGGAAACCATGGGGATTAGTCATGGCCAGATCTCAAGCTGTAGCTTGACCTATAGCTCTACATGAGGGGCCCCTGTCTCTGATACTGGCAGAGTCCTCGGGCAGTTTTGGCAGACACTGTGACCCAGTTTTGTGGCTTTGTTGCTGACTTCAGAGTATGAATCAGCCTTGAGGGTGGAATTACAAGTCAAGATTCTAGATGTTCCCCTTTTCTAAACCTAGAGTCCCCATCTTCCTCCAGGTCTCCTTCTGTGGCTGTGAGCATCGGTACAGACCTAAGGTGGCCTGCCTAGGAAAAGCCCCTATGGAGCTTGCTTCTAAGTCAGGAGTGGGTCAAGGAGATAGCGGCACCTATGCTCAGTCAGAACCATTATACTCCAGGAGAAAAAGAATTGGAGAGGCTCTCATGGTCCAGGTACCAGGCCTGCAGGAGAGGCCTTGCTGTGAACGGTCTAGGACATCCTTCAGGGAAAGAGAAGTTTAGGACGTTGGCCCTGAAGGGGTATATGTCAAGCTGCTGCAAACTCATCTTGTAGCTCTAGCCAGTCACTTGACCATGGAGCCTCAGCTTTTTCCTTGGACTGGAGTAATGCGTCATGGGAATTCCTCTAGCTGTGTCGTTCAGGAGTTTTGTTCTAAAACCTCCCTGAGAGTCTGATTATGTTTTTGTGTTTTCCATAGCCCACTTTAGTGCCAAGGAGGCCGGGGACCTATCCACGCTCTTCGACGTTGGTGGCATCATAGGTGAGGCCCTGTCCTTCTGTCCTGGCATGCTGTCTTTCTGTTTGCTTCTACACAGAGGTACAGAAAGAAGGGACAGCTGGCTGTGATCTGGCAGAGAGGAAAGGCCTCCTAGTGTATTCTCATTTCTGTTCCTGCTAGACTGGGTGGGCCTGAGAAAAATGATCTTTGCACTCTGGTTTCTTGGAGTGATGGGAACAAGGGAAGACTACAGAGGGAGGTGGTTGATTCTTAAGGCCAGCCCAGGGTGGGGCTGGGTGTTGGGACAAAACTGAGTAGCAGGTAAGGAACAGCATGGTGGCGTCAGGGACAGCGTGCGAGTGAGAATGTGTTTCAGGTGGCATCATGGCTGGGCTCATCAGCGACTACACCAATGGCAGGGCCACCACTTGCTGTATCATGCTGATCTTGGCCGCTCCCATGGTGCGTACAGTCTCAGCGTGCATATGCTTGGGATCCACCTCTATATCTGCATACATAGCTATGTCTTTGTTCATGTGTATATGTGTATTCCTGGGCACATGTAGAGGAAAAAAAAAGCAAAAGACAGCAGAGGACCAGGCTCTGTGAAAGAGACCAGGATTAATAATCCCAGAATGGGATTAGTGATTATCTAGCCTTGGTGGAGAAGAGAGACACCAGCTCCGACATTTTTCCTTTGACCAAGGAACAATAAAGAGATTGAGGATAGACACGAGAAGATGTTTTGGGGGAGAGGGATGTGATAGAACCATACATGGAGGTACATGCCTGTAATCTCAGGATTTGGGAGGTAAAGGCAGGGGGATCAGAAGTTCAAAGTCTTCCTCAGCTACAGAGTGAGTTTCAGGAAACCCTGGGTTGCATGATACTCATTTCAAAATCAGAAGGAAAAAAAGGAAATTAGAGATTACCATAGTTAGACCATCTATTTTGAGACATGTAAAGACCTGAGATGTTTGGAAATACAAGGCAGGAAAACCAAGTGATATATGGAATTCCAGAGCAGGCGGGGGCTAGTCCAGACTCAGAGCTAGCCCAGCAAGAGGAAAACATGTCCTTCTTCCTTCAGATGTTCCTGTACAACTACATTGGCCAGAATGGGATAACCAGCTCCATAGGTGAGGACACCCAGTCACTGTGAGCCTCTGCCTGGGGAACTCCATGACAAGGGCAAGGACGTACGTCACTTGCTCTGGACTTGGGGCTGCGCACAGCCCCTTATCTCTAATTATGCCATCTCTGCTGTCTTCCCAGTGATGTTAATTATCTGTGGGGTCCTGGTCAACGGCCCTTACGCACTCATCACCACAGCCGTCTCCGCTGACCTGGTGAGTGGGCCACTTGTGGGTACCAGGCTGGTCTGAGGGTACAGTCAGGGGCTCTGTCTGCAAGTCCATCTCCCCTCTCCCCCGTTCCCATCTCTTGTCCTGCAGAACCTACACAGGTTCTTTCCTTTCCACCTCAGGGCCCCATCACCTCCCACCTCAGCACTGCTCTTCCCGAGTGGTTTTGCTTAGCCTGAGCTGTCCCACTCCGCTCTGTCTCCCCAGGGCACACACGAGAGCCTGAAGGGTAACGCCAAGGCCCTCTCCACGGTCACGGCCATCATTGACGGCACCGGCTCCATAGGTTTGTACCTGGTTTGGGTACCTGGCAGCCGAGCCCCTGCCTTGTTACGGGTGGACCCCCAGGGGCACCGCCCAAGGTGGTCGGGGAAGGTATGTATATTGCTTTCATGAAACCGTTGTGTATAGGTGCTGCTCTGGGGCCCCTGCTGGCCGGACTCATTTCCCCCACAGGCTGGAACAATGTGTTCTACATGCTCATCTCTGCCGACATCTTGGCTTGCTTGGTAAGAGGTCCCGGGCTCCACAGATGTCTGTTGGGGAATGCTTTCTGTGTACAGACTGGAACTTTGGTATAAAACACTGGGGCTTCTGGGATGGTGAGAATGGCCGCCGCCCTTCGCTCAGAATTACTTCCTCCTGTGAGGAATGCTGTTCACTTACTGTCTCAGCCACCCATCCCATGGGTCAGCAGAGCCTGGAAGCTCACAGTGTCTCCCCTTCCCTTTCTACCTTGAACCCCCCACAGCTCCTCTGCAGGTTGGTGTACAAAGAGATCCTGGCCTGGAAGTCGGCCCGGAGCAGAAACAGTGGGTGAGTTTCCTAGCAGTGGAAGCCATACACCTAACCTCACTTCTAGGACTCCACCCAGGGCTCAGTTACTCTGTCCGCAGTCTGTGCTGGTCCATTGTGGGCCTCAGGAACCCTGAAGCAGCGCCCCCTTGATGTGCTGTTGGACCCCCCATCCCACTCCACAACTACTAACCTTGCCTCTGTTGTCCCCCCATGTGTCTCCATAGCTCTAGTCTGGCCCTAACCCACCCGCGATAGTATTTTCCTCAAGTCCCATGACTTTTGTGAGTATTCTCTTCAAGTATGACTAACACACCATCGGATGCGGGCTGCCTGGGAACTCCTCTCCTCTCCTGCGTGTGACCAGCCTCGTGCCCTCCAGCTTTCTCTGTTTCCTTGGGAGCCATACCCGGAGATTCAAGCTAGTCAGAGCACGGTGCTTGGGAACTATTTCTCCGGGCATCTGAGATGCTACCGAGGGCTTTGAACACACCCGTAGGGCAAAGGGGCCAGAGATCCAGAATCTTCTCTTCTTTGAACTGAGGCTTAGCTCCGCCTCCTAAATGTCAGAAATCAGAGTCATCTGACCCCTCTGCCCGGGCTGTGTCGAAAAGGGCAAGGACCAATCAAAGCCTCTGGAACAAATCGCTAACAGTGCTTAGTCCGGTGTGGTTTCTGCCTGGTGTCCAGAGGTGGCGGGTGTGGAAGTCACAGAGGTCAGTGACTGAGTCAGAGGCTGAGGTGCTGGTGACTGGGTGACTGTCCCTGGGGCCTTTCTGGCTCTTTGTTTGGCACAAGTATCTCACTAAGAAAAGGAGCTGGCAAAGCCTGGACCTGGGCTGGATGGTAAATGTGAAGACCCGTCCCCTGGGGTCATGATAACCCACACAGCATCCAGGGAAGCACTTCCTCTTTAAGAAGGCATCAAACAAGGAGGAAACAGGGAAGCAGGAAGCAGTGGTGCACGTGAAGGCATTCACAGGGTCTGCCCTGCCCTGCTCTGGAGGACAGGAGCAGGGGACTGGACAGCATAAGTTTTCTCCTTTCACCTCCACTCTCTGGGCTAGGCTTGAAGGGAGCCAGGAAGAGAAAGAAAGGGAGAAAAGTCCATAGTGAACTAGAGTAGAAGCCAGGCTCACCTCACTGGAGCTCAGCTCTTAGCCTCCTTGAGAGACAGGTGTTCTCATTTGAGGTTTGGAGCCAGTCCTGGTAGAACCTAAAACAGAACCCAGGTTTGTGGGGGTGGCTTGTCTCTCTGTAACTGCAGCTCTCCCAGGCTGGTTCTTCCTGGAAGGCCCATTAAGAAATGGATAGTGATTTACTGGGGCAGGGAGAGCTCTAGGCTGAGAACCCGAAGTCCCGAGAGGTACTTGGTTTCTCTGTACACTCACCTCTATCTAAGACCTCGGCAAAGTCCTCAATCTCTGCCTCGTTGAACATAATGGGGATGTTTGCCTCAAATGCCTGGTACAGTTGGTCTGAGGCGCAGAGAAAATGAGACAGGGAGTGATGCTTTTTTTGTGAACTGGCCAAATGTGGCAGAAACACTTTGTTTTCCATATTGTTTGGGCTTGTTAGCGCCTGCCCAACAAGTGAAGGGAAGCCCTAATTATCAGCAGTAGATATGAAAGGCAGAAGCTTATTAACGTGTGCCTTACTTTCTCTTCCATCCCGTCTTCCCTGTTCATGCAGGTACAAACAAATCTGAGGCCTCGAGTGGAAGAGCAGCATGGGCCGTCCCGTCCCTGCTGGGTACCCAGTGGGCTCCCTATGAGCAAGTGAATGGAAACTTCCATCACGGGGAGGCAAAGCCTCCTGATCTAACCGGCCCAGCCCGAAGCTACACCGCCACTAAGGAAGGGTACAGAAGACTCTATGGGAAGGGGCTGCTGAGCACCAAGCATGGGGAAACGGCAGCCTTCAAGGACTGAGCTCTGAGAGCTGCAATCAGAAGGAATGGGCTGAAAGCAGAAAGGAAGGACACGGTCAGACTCTTGCTTGTTTGGATTCCAAGGTCTGGAAAAGGTGCATCTCTCCTTCCCATGTTAAATTATAATCTCTGTAATTATCCTGTACCTAAGAGGGATTTCACCTTGGTTCAAAGGTGCCGGGCCTCTGTCTGTCTCTGTCTGTGAATTACTCTTTCCGTATTTCCCCAAGTAGGACCCCTCTTGATCTATCCTCCACTTGATATCCTGTTGATAACTCAGCCACTTTGAAGCCTTAGCACTGCCCTTGCCGAGCCAAGGCTTGGCTGGGGTAAGGGAGCTGTCATGAGTACTGATGTCGCTCTCGGGCTCCTGACCATGCCCTCCCTCAGAGCCCAGAACCTCCCTTGCCTCACCCTGAAGATGCCTCAGTGGATGAAGACATTGGGGTCAGTGCTGTGAAGACTAAGGGGTGTTGTATACAACGGCAAATGCCAGTGTGAATTAAGCACTGGGTGCTGACATCCTGGCAGCTCTCCTGTGAGAACAAACAGGAAGTGGCCATAGAAAGGACTTAACCCTGAACATAGGTGCCAAGTTTAGCAAGAAATGAAGATACCACTGGAAACATCTGAGTAACTGCTGCTTAGCAGTTGCTAGGAGACATCTTGCAGCCACCCTCTGCCTGGTGTTCTAATCACGTGCCTTCCACTCTTGAGTCCTGGTTCACAATATGCCAGGCTGACTCCTGGCATTTCCGCCTGACCTCTAAGGTGCCCATCAACACCAATACAGATTTCCTTTGCCAACTGTGCCTCTGTTTATCTTTGGTCGGGCCTGGCATAGCAGCAGCCATGGGGCTCAGGAGGGGCAGTGAAGCATTGTCACATGAACAACAAAGATTGGTGTTCTGGGGCTGTGACAGCTGGCATTCCCAGAGGGTATTACTCATGACATTGATAACACATGCAATCCAGCAGGAGCCTAGACCCCTCCCCCATACAAGATACATCCATTGCGTTTACTAGGATGTCGCAATAAAATATAAAGCTCACCTGTCTGATCCTCACTTTGGTTCTGCAAGAACCTCTTAAACTCAGGACCTGGTACAGGACAGGGGCTGACACATGGTAATCTGCTCAGCGTTCAAGCCCGGAAAGACTTTATCTGATATTATGTGCAAAGGACAGACTTTAAGGCAAAGCTGTGTTACTTCTGTCGGCCACTAGATGGTGATAGCATCCCGTGGTAGAGTCCAGGGCAGGCAGGTGTGGCCATTCCTTTTCAGAGAAGGAACACTGCTTCCCTGACTCCCAGATTCCGCCCTACCACCCTCCGGTGAGGTCAGGGTGGAAGGAGTGGTTCTTGGAGGTCTTCCCCGTCCCAGCCTCATTGCTCACCACAGTCTTCCTGTCTCCTCACCTAGAACAGGGGAATAACACTGCTCGAGGTATAGGGTTGGTGTGAAGGGACATAAGTGTTAGTCACACTAGCTGCTCTTGTCTCCTTAGCAGAGGAGACAGCATATGAAAATAGAAACAACACGCAGTGACCTAAGTTGAGGGCTACATCATTTGTTAGTCCAGACCTGAAGTGACGGGGCTGGTGGATAGGGCTGGTAGCGGTGATTCCAGTGGCTTCAGATGTGACAGTATCTGAAGGAAGGATTCACGGGCCTTGGATGATCAATATGACAAGGCAGTGAGAAGCAGAAGACAGAAGAAGCGAACATAAATCTTGTCGGGCTATCCTATGCTAGGATAAGGACCAGCGTATGAACAAACAAACACATGCACTCCAGGCAGGCAAGAGAGGCATTAGACAGCTTCAAAAGATTTGTGGGAGCCCAGAGTCAGGCCTCAAAAGTGAACCTACCTAGGCTGTAGGTATAAGAAGGGGGTTGGGGAAAACTCTATAGGTTGGAGGACCACCACCACCACCACCCCCACGTACCATTTGGCACTCACTTGCCAGGCCGGGTTCTCTGTACCCTCCTCAGCCCCTCCCAACCCCCCAGCTCTGAGCACATTTTGTTCACCAGAGGCCTGGTACCTGTCTTCTCACAGGCCTCTGCACTCACACGGGGCTAATGCAGGAACATTACGTTAATTAGTTATTCATTTAATTTAACTTCACATTTGGTCTCAATTAAGCTTAAAATGTTCTTCCTTATAGATGCTACCATAGCACGTGTAATTAAAAGGCAATAACTCTTTGTGTTTCTCCTTTAGAGATCCATTGGGAGGCTGGGCTAGCATGTGTGAGGAGGGGCTGGTGGGGAGGAGCTGGAAGGGAAGGAGCCTCCTGTAGAGCTGAGTATTTTGAGGCTTTGCTGAAGGTGTGAGGAGGGACCTAAAAACGGCTCCAGACTGAGGGTGGGGAGGGCCGCTGTGGGGAGCCCTGAGACCTAGACAAAGCAACAGATCTTTTGTCCGGGAGGTTGTGGGAGTGAGGGAGGTTTTCAGTATGGAAGGAGGCCGTCCTCATAGCTGGGAAATGGGACCCTCTATTCTGTAGTAAATGCAATGCCCCTCACCCAGAATGTCTATTCCATAATTCTTCGAACCCATAAATATATTATTGTATTACCTGATAAGTGAAACTTTCAGACCTTGAGATGGGTTGTCACGTGAGCCCAGTGTAACCACAAGGCTCTCATCAATGACAGTGAGGCAGGGGTGGAAGAGACTAGAAGATGTCACATTGCTGGTTTTCGAATACAGAAAGGGCTCACCAACCCTGGGATGTGACTTCTAGAAGCTGAAAAAAAAAAATCAAACAGGTTCTCCCCTAGAATCTCTCCTACAGTTTTGTCCTTAGTCCTGTGAGGCAGTAGGCTAATACACGTGCGCTGTTCTAAGCCACGTGACGTTTGTAATGTGTTCCAGCAGCAATAGGAAACTAATACACATCATAAGTGCAAAGCAGGACATAATTGACTTACAGTCAGAAGCATAGGAAAACAAAAGAAGTCCTCAGTGCTAGGAAGCTGGCTCAGAGGGTAAAATGCTTGCTGTGCAAGCATGAGGACCCGAGTTTGACCCCCAGAACACACTCGAAGAAGAAAAGTATGGTGACAAGTTACAATCCAGCCCCCAGGAGGCAGAAACAGGTAGACAGCAAGCTCTAGTCATCTGACAGTGACAAATCCCCAAAGATTAACGATAACACAGGGCTGGCCACATAGCATCTAGTATAGCAGCATCCTTTCTAGGCTTTTAGAAATCACTGCTGTATAAGTACCACGAGCTAACTGCAAAGTGTGTGTGCTTCGGTCCTTCTTAGAAGGAGTAACAAAATACTCATTGGAACAAATATGGAGACAAAAAGTGGGACAGAAACTGAAGGAGGGGTCATCTGGAGACTGTTCCACCTGGGTATCCATTCCATGTGCAGGCACCAAAGGTAGACGCTGATGTGGATGCCAGGAAGTACAGGCTGACAGGAGCCTGATATAGCTGTCTCCTTAGAGGTCTGCCAGAGCCTGAAATATATAGAGGCAGATGCTCACAGCTAACCATTGAACTGATCATGGGGTTCCCAATGGAAGAGTGAGAGAGAAGACTGAAGGAGCTGAAGGGGCTTGCGGCCCCATGGAGAGAGCAACAATACCAACCAACCAGAGCTCCCAGGGTCTAAACCACCAGCCTGGGAGCACATAGGGAGGGACCCATGGCTCCAGCTGTATATATAAGGAAGGATGATGGCCTTGTTGGGCATAGGTGGGAGAGGAGATCCTTGGTCCCATGAAGGCTGGACACCCAGTGTGGGGTAATTCGAGGGTGGGGAGGTAGGAATGGGTGGGTGGGTGGGGGCATATCCTCATAGAAGCAGGTAGAGGGGGGTGGGATAAGGGGTTCCTGGGTGGGGGAAATGGGGAAAGGGGATAACGTCTGAAATGTAAATAAAATATCTAATTATAAAAGGAAAACAAATAAACAAACAAAAAAGAAATCACTGCTCCCTCTACTGGCTGCTGCACGGTGCCCCAGTCAGAGCTCCTCAATGATACTGTCTTTAGGTATACTTTAACTACTTTGTCCCACACTCTTGCCCAATTCCAGACTTTGGACTTCCTCCCCACAATCAACAGCCACTTCTAGGGGTTTCTCTCAAGTGGATCTGTGTTGCCTGAATCTGGTCCCTTTAATCCTGTTTGTACCTTACAGACACATCGTGTGATGTAAGTGTTAGGAGCTTGAACACTGAGCCAAACTGTCTCACTTCCAACCTTGACTCCTGATTCCCCCAGTCTGTCCCTGTTGGGTCAAGTGGGGACAGCAACAAGGCCCACTTAATAGATCTGATACATGACGTCATACGTGCTTACAGTGTGCTTTGAGAAATACTTGACATCTCTGCTGCATGTAACAAAGACTGTCATGTCTGTGTGAATGACATCTGCTTATTTCCAGGCTTGGGGTTGAGGTTAAAGGGTCAGTTCTATCAACGATAAAAAGTTCTTCCCAGCCCTAAACTGTCACATTCCATTCGGGGTAATCAACACGTTTCCAGATTATTTTCTGTATCTGATTCTCGCATCTGGATAAGCCAAAGGCTGGACTGACTCGTTTATCATTTGTTCTTATCGGTGTTAGCAGTTCTAAAGAATTTTTGCCTTTACAGATGTGAAGGAGGGAAACGGTGCAAACAGCTAACCAACGGGAGACTAAGGAGTTGTTTGAAAGCAGAAGTTGATCTTTAAGGCATGAGATGAAAATGAATGCATGAGGAGTTAGTGATAGTGCTTCAAGTCTGAGGGTCACTACCACTGTGAACTTTCAAACCCGTCCTCTTCTCCGCCTGTTTCCCGTCTGTGAAATAACACCACATTTCTTTACACACTGGGGATCAAACAGGAACAGCTTCTTCAGGGATAGAACTGAGTTGATAAGGTAGGTTAGGTCTTGAAGAACAGAACAGGAAACCCATCACTGTATTAGAATAGACACACTTGGAATCTCGGGATGCCTCCACCCTGATCCCCCATTGCCTCACCCTGACAGCACACATCCGCTGGGCTCTCATCGGGGCTGAAACACAGACGCATTGTTTACATGGAGGGAACGCTGTGCTCTCAGTGCCTGTGCGCCGACACAATTCCTCTGGTGCATTTTAACATTGATTATCTGAAACCCCTGATCAGAAAAGAATCGAGGTTTTCTTCCCATTTACCAGTGAGAAAACTTTAAGTTGCTTATCAAAATATTACTCAATACGCTTGGCTGGTCTGAGACATTTCTAAAATACTACACGGCATTGCCCTGGTCCAGCAGGGCATTAAATGGGGGTCCGGGGAGGTCACCTGAAACGGGGTGAGGGGGGGCAGACGTAAAGAATCATGGCTTGTCTATAGGCTGATCAAACTGTGATTTTTACTTTTTTCTCAAACAGGGGTTATATACACAAAAAAGCAGGATGTGGGGAAGGGGATGATGCAGAAGCATAGGTGTTCAGGGGAAGTACAGACATCTTCCAGAACAGAATGTCAGCTGGGTGAAGGTTCAGGGGACAGGTCACTATGACTCTGCCTATGATTCACTTGTCCTTATCTAAGTTGGTACTATCCATCAAGGTTACCTATCTACAAGGTCTATGACTACTCAGGCTGGCAATTTTCCACCAAAGCTGCTTGTTTACAATAGCTTATAGTCATCTGTTTCAGTGTTTTTCCACAGTGACCCAAGACTTTGTGTTAGCATGCATGTAAGGCCTATTGCTGATTTTTAGGCCTATGGCTGATTTTAGGCGTTCAGTGTATAAGCAGGGCTGCCCCTGACATGGTATCGCTCAACTGACTAGACAAATATTCTACCGTATTGGACCTGGGAGGGCACTGCTGGCCTAGCCTGCCAGGACACGGTCCTGCAGCACTATACAAGTACTTGTTGTCTCACACAGATCTCCTGTTCTTTTCACCTTTCAAACAGTGGGGAATCGCCAGTCTTTCTGGACAGCGAAGGAAGAGGACAACTTGCCCTGTTGAGAGAACAGCTAGCGAACCCTGCGGTTATCTGGATGGGCGTTTGAGGGATAACCCTAAGCTAGCCCTGTCTCCGGGCAGGGCTCTGACATAAGAGGTGATACCTCAGGTTGACTTCTCTGAAATCCATTTGGTTAGCCTGTCACTTCTGGAGTTTTGTTGTTGTTGGCTCTTATTGTCTTTTAAGGTTGGACACGATTACCTTGAGTATGTAAGAAGAAAGTAATCATTTCCTTTCACCATACTAGTCATTACAGGTAAGAACTGTAGAAGACAAGCCAAGATGAAATACTTGATATGGTGTGTGTGTGTGTGTGTGTGTGTGTGTGTGTGTGTGTATGCATTGTATAAAGCCAGCTCTTGATACATAAGCCCGTGACATCAACTTTAAAAAAAAAAAAAAAACTGGATACCTGGGAAGAAATTTAGGGTTTTCACCTTCACCAAAATTCCTCTCTCTGTAGATACCCAAAATCTCACAGCTGCTATTTACTTGATAGACGATTTTGGTTTTATAGGTTTATTTAATAATTATATATATGAATGCTTTGTCTTCATGCACACCAGAAGAGGGCATCAGATCCCATGACAGATGGTTGTGAGCCACTATGTGGTTGCTGGGAATTGAACTCAGGACCCCTGGAAGAGCAGCCAGTGCTCTTAACCACTGAGCCATCCATCTCTTTAGCCCTGCTTTTCTAAGTTTTTCTTTCTAAGCTCAAGGACAATTTTATTAGAATTTAAAAGAAAGCCTCCAGACTAGGCAAGCTGTTATCTCGGGAGTTGTCTGGAAGAAGAAAACACAGAAGGGAAAACCTTGTGGTACCATCATTCTTCCAGGACCGGCAGCTAGCAACACATGGCGGGGAGGCCAGTGGCTTCAGAGGAAGAGTGAGGAAGCCTAAACTATCAGAAAAAGCATACTGAGGTTCTGGTCAACATCCGAAAGAAAGAGGGGAAAAAAAAGTCTCTTTCTGAGTCAGTATTTAGAAAGGTAAACAGACCTACCTAAATGTAGTGTCTCACTAAAACGACAATTACTCCTGCCATTCTTTAGTATAGCTAAAGTGAACCTGCCATCCTAGCAGTGATCACTTAGCTAGGTGGTTGACCTAGCCCAACTAGGATGTTAGGCCCCTACTCGGGTCAGAGATTCCATTCTCTTGAGCAGTTTGCCCTCAAAGGGCCTTTATCAATACTGTAACATTCCTCCCTCTGAAGCTTTCCCTTCATCACTCTGATTTAGGTAACCCTAAATCATTTATGAACTAGATCAGGGATCAGAACTCCCTTCCCCCCAACACTTCTAGTATCTTTTGGTCTCTAGTTGGTGGTTGGATACCTTTGCAAAGGAATGAAAAAGATAAATTCGTGGTCAGGTACCTATACAAACCTTTCCAGAGGTGCCTTGCCAGGCTCCTTGGGAGGAAAAGCATACTGCAGTCTGTGCCTGTCAGGATCAGTGCTGCTTGGGTTGGCTAAGGCACACTATAGGAAGACTCCCAGGTGCCTGGAAGCTTTTGTGCACTGAGGAGAATAAGCCTGAGTTCCAGGCTGCCCACCTCCCTCACAGTTTCCACACCCTCTCCTCTCCCTTCCATTCTCAGAACATTTCTCTATTGCTTCCCCATGAGCCCTAGGTCAGACTAAGAATCAATTTCGTTTGAAGGCTTCTGAATAAAAGCTCATCTGGAAAGTTTCCCCCAAGTTAAGCAGATAAAGAAGCCAGTTCAAGTGGAGGGCAACTGTATCTGCTCCTTACCAGCCGGGACTCCCAAGAGTCACTGGTTTCAGCCTCTTGACATTGGACCGAGCTCCCATGATGTGGTAGAAGTGGGCGTTTCTATACTCCCAACAACAGTATTGAGGAGAGATAGGAAAAAGAAGTGGCCCTAACCTTTCTCAAGTTCTCATTCAAGGGGTCACAAATCCCAGAACAGAAGCTCTCAAGCTGTGTGTTATGACCCTTTTGGGGGTCAAATGATCCCTTCACAGGGATAGCATATCAGATATTCACATTACAATTCATAACCAGCAAAATTACAGTTATGAAGTAGCAATGAAAATAATTTTATGGCTGGGGTTTACCACAACAGGAGGAGCTGGATTAAGGGGTTGCAGCATCAGAAGGGTTGGGAATCACTGGTGTAGAAGGTTTTCTCCTATTGTGAGAGAGACTGACTTCTGCCACATCTGGGTTTGCCAACTGGCTGCTGTGTGAAGCCTAAGAGAGTTCATCACCTTAACCTTCAGGATTTTTCTATTTAGAAATAAGAACAACAATAATAAATTGTTATAAACCTTAAGTCTTAAAGGAATCGCTACAGCCCAGGCATCTAGCTGACCCAGACACTTTTCCAGCTCTTTCTCTGGCTCTCAGACTCGGCAACTCCTTTCACATTGCTCTGGAGACACAGGGCGACACTTCCAAAGCAGAACCAGACTGGACCCTCCACCCCATTAAGTGACAAATTTTATTGTTCTGGGGAGTTAGTCAAATGTGAAGTTATACTACAGTGCTGAGAATATACATTCCTTAATAATTTTGGAGAAAGAATTTCCAAGATGAAGATACAGAGGCAGGCATGTTGGGGGTGGGGTGGGGCACACCTGTAATCCTAGTACCCAAGAAGGCTGAGGCAGAAGGACCCAGAGTTCAGTCGAGCTCTGGGTCCCCAGTGAGACCGTGGAATCAACCAAGTGATCAACTGACCAAGAAGATAAAAAGAGCCAGGCCTAATGATTCGGGCCTAAAATCCCAGCTACGTGGGAAACTAAGGCAGGATGGCAAGTTCAAGGCCAGCCTGGGAAACAGTGAGATTATTCTTCAAGATAAAATGTAAGCAGAGGGATAGGATGGCAGAGTTCTTGTTTGAGGTTCTGGGTTCAATCTGTAGGGCTGCCAAAGGAAAAAAAAAAAGGAAAAAGAAAAGGCCAAAGCCCAAAGTGGACTCGAATATAATACTATATACTTAAATAAGGCACCCAGAGGCCACCAAATTTGGGAGGAAAAGACCCAAGATACTTGGCAGGAAGACAACTAACATTTCCATACCTCCTTTCTAATCTCTAAGTAAACTTCAAATGTAAATATACAAAAGCTGTAGCCAGGAGTTTGAAGAGCAAGAAGCCCTTTGGTAGTTGCTTACTGCTTTATTAGAACTCAGGCAAGTGCCACGCACTGTCTTTACAGAGCTCTGTGGAACTACACAGAAGGAATGGTCAATAACCGCTGCCTAATACATCTTCCATACTCTCTCATGAAAGCAATTTTGTGTTTGAATGCCTCTCCCTTCCAAATGGTTACAAATACTCAACTGAGAACTTATAACTTACACATTATTTTAAAAGGGCCAGCTTCTTCTGTTGGACAACGGAGCCCAAAATTCCTTTCCCCAAATCTACTACTCAACAGCTTGACTGAACCCAAGGCAGATCACTGTTTCTACTGTTCATCTAAAACAGACAGAAATCCTGAGTATGGGTTCCGAAAAGACAGCTGTACCTGTCTTGATGGTGACAATTTACATCCATGGACTCTGCTTTGCTACTGAGTTTCTGGAGGCCCGGGCTCAGGAGGTTTGCCTTAGTGACAAATGGTTATTCCTCTGGTCTGAAAACATGAAGGTGGTCAAGGCTCCAGAGATCAATCGCCTTTGCGCTCATCCATGACGTCAACATGTCCCGTGTTTCCGTTACCGTGCTCAGCAGGACCTCAGTGGTTTGGCATAGATTGGCTCCAGCACATGATGAGTAAGAAGCAGGAAGAGGCCTCCAAGAAAGACAGCGCTGAGGAAAGCTAGCAGGACATAGCGGCCGATGAAAAAGGCATCCACGATCTGGAGAGAGAAAACATCAAGATCAGAGTCTCTGCCACTCCAGCTCTGCCTGTGTGAACCTGAGATCGGATGGCTGTGCCCGGAGTTTCTTTGTATCTTCAAGTAGCATCCTGCCCTGGGTTCCCGATGCATTTGGATAAGAAAACTTTCAGCTTCCTAAGTAGAAAATACAAGGTTTTCACAGAAAAAAAGGAGGAGGAGGAGAAGGAGGAGGAGGAGAAGGGATAAGAGGAAGAGGAGGAAGAGGAAGAAGAGGAGGAGGAAGAAGAGGAGGAGGAAGAAGAGGAAGAAGAGGAAGACTAGGAGGAAGAAGAGGAGGAACAGGAGGAGGAAGAAGAGGAGGAGGAAGAGGAGGAGGAAGAGGAGGAGGAGGAAGAAGAGCAAGAGCAACTAATAATAATAAGGTACAGGAAACAAATGGCTCAATTTAGGGGAAAGAGTATCTTTCTAAATGCAGTGACTCTGAAGCTTTTATCAGAAGAGTTCTGGACCCTAATTGCAAGGGAGTGAGGGAAAGTGGCCACTTATCTAAGATATTAAAGCACTAAAAGGGTATGTAACTTGCCCCATCATACAGTTGGTTGCCTAGTAACCAGTCATATGGGAAGCCCTAATTCTACTGGTCTTTGTTGACAAAAACCTGTATCTGGTATGGGCTCTGCCCAGATGTCTGCTACCCACTTCTAAGGAACAGAGCTCTGTTCTCCCCAAAGCTAAGCAGTGGTGCTTTAAATGGGCAGGGGAAGCAGGTATCATAAACCAAATGAGTGCCTAACTTACTTCACAGAAACCAGGAGAAGCCATTTCTTGGAGCGCTTCCCAAATACTTGGCAGTAATGGTCACAATCTAAAGAACTGCCCAGAGATCCTACTCCCTAGAGCCTGTGAACTCATGGATTGTATGACCAAGTGGAGTTAAGGTTGTGACCTGGAAGCCAGCAGATTAGCTTGGATTATCCAATCCAGGGGGGAGGCCCAGTGTTAACAGAGTCCTTAAAAGCTAAAGGCACGCTGGAGGCAGAGGTAGAAGCAGAGGTGGGCGGATCTCCACTGCATTTCAGACCAGCCAAGGCTACATAGTAAGATCTTGTCTCAAGGAACAAAACAGAATGAAAGAAGAAGCAGAAAATACATTCAGGAAAAGAGAGGTAAGATGGATACATCCAGAGAGGTGACACACTGCTGGCTCTGCAGATGGCCACAGATGGAAGCCGTGAGCCAGGCACAGGGAGCAGCCTTTATAGCTAGAAGAAGTCAGCCAGTGGGCATTCTTCCAGAACCGCTGGAAAGATGCACGGCCCTGCTCACCCTTGGTTGTAACTCAGGGAGATTGGTGATGGACTCCTAACCCACACAACTGTAGATAACAAATTTACGGTAGGAACCATTATGCCGGCAGGAATTTGTTACAGCAGCAACAGAAAGCTAATACAGTGTTGATACACAAAGCACCTGAACAATCTAAGCAGTGGTAAGGGTGAGATCCAAAGACATCAAGAAGAAGGCTGTGGCCACCCGAGCTGCTTCAGAGACTACCCCAACAGTCAACTTACAACCAAGGTCAGTTTGATGAAACAGCTTTAACATAACTTTGACCTTGGCTCTGGTACTGAACAAGTCTCTCGCGGGCTACATGTTTGCTCGCTCGACTGTTTCACTTTTTAATTAGCCAATTAGCAGGCCTTGGGTGCAGAAGGCCCAGGCCATGTATTATTGATACAGTATTGAGCCAGGCTGCGGCAGGGGCCAGCTCTCAGAGCCTGAAAACGAAAACTCTGTCTGCTGGCCATGCTGACAAACATGTTTTTGCTCAATCCTGGTTGTCTCCTGAGTCCGAAACTCATACGACAGAAGGGAGGGATTGATTTCGAAAGGTTGCTTGCTCTGTGCCTTTTCCAGTAGTCATAACAGCAATAATTACAAATATGGTGGCATGTATCACTTTTTTCTCCTAAAAACAAAGAAACTGGGGTAGGCCAGTTGCAGAGAAGAGCCTGACACCCCGGGGAATAACTCCTGGAATCTGTGTGGTAAGCATAATCTCCCTGAGAGTTTCTAGAGCTAACTCTCTTCCTCTCACCCTCATTAGTCTTAGGTAGAGCTGAAAGTGTGTTCATTTTATTTCAAGAAATTATGTAATTTTCTGGACTATATCAAATTGACAATCTGTCAGATCTGGAGAATGGTCTTTGATATTCTATTTAGTTCCAACAAGTATGAAGATGTTTAGGGGGAGGGGGTGTATTTTTTTCAAGACAGGGTTTCTCTGTGTAGCCCTGGCTGTCCTGGAACTCACTCTGTAGACCAAGCTGCCCTCTGCCTCCCAAATGCTGGGATTAAAGGCATACGACATCACTGTCCAGCAAGTTTGAAGACAGAGGTCAGTTTAAATCCTTGCTCTGCTTTTTCCTGGACAGTGTGAATTTGGACAGGTCACCTGGCCCTCTTACTCAGAAAACAAGAGCACCTAATGTAGGGTTTCTGTGTGGTTTCAGTGAGACAATGGATAACGTGGTGTTTAGCACAGGTCTCTGGATACAGTAATCCTTTAAGAATGCCAGCTAGTAGCATGGCTTCTACTTCAAAATTAAAATAGCTACTGGGAGGATCAGAATGCCACAAGAAGACGTAATGGGACAGACAGGTCAGTACCCTTACCAAGAGCCTATGGGTCTGAGACCAGTCACACATGGTGGACCCAGAGCCCCAGGTCAGGAAGGAACCAGACCAGGTGAGGTCTGCAGAAATGGAGCAATGACAGAGGTGATCCAAATCTCTTTATAGAAGTAGGTTCTGGCAGATGTGGTCTAAGGGATGAAGATGATAGTCATTAGCATAGAACACATCTGTAACTCCCCCTTCTGCTTCCCACGGAGAGGCCCCTCTTACCTACTGTTCTTAATGGAAGTGGGTCTCTCAACACCACAGTGGGAAAAGTCAACCTCAAGATGGAAAGTCATGTCACTTGGCACCCTGAGAGCACTACATTCTGACCAGGATCTGAGACTCTGAACCAATGCTACAAGGAATGGGGAACACTATACTTACAGCCTATGCTAGTCAGTTCCTAGTTGCTAACTCTCTTCTCTTCCTGTCTCTAAGTAAGGAGTGGCTCTCCACACTGTCATTCAACTTGATGCAAGTGGTAAGTAATGGCACACCAGGTAAATCACTGCCTGGTGGTGCTGCAGGTGGGATTCATGAGGCCCTTTCCAGGGTAAAGGGACAGGGGCCTTGCAGCGCTCTTGTTTGACCAGCTTGTAAGGCAGGGTGGAAGGGCTGAGATTAGGGGCTAAATGAAACCCAATAGCTTTACCTTCATTTCACCTTCTGGGGCTGGTAATTCACTGGCTCGAGGGAAAAGCAATAGAACTGTAGTGATGATCAGAGCACCAAGGAAGACAAAGACGGTGGAGAACCTGGGGACAAAGAGACCTGAGTATCAGAAGCACCGCAGACAGTCAACTTCTAACCAGTAGGCCTGTGCTGGGGTCAAAGTCCCTGAAGGTCTGCAAAGTCCTCCATCCCAAAGCCTTGGACAGGTACCAGCTAGGTATATTCCTATTTATTCCTGCTAACTCCCAATTCATAGTTTTCTGCACAAAGTGTCCATTCATGCATACAGACATACACACCCCTCCCATCCCCACACACCTTCGCTCTTTCAGACCAGAACACTTCGACAAATTCTGTAGCTCCCTGTTTATGACTGACATGACTCTGACAGAGTGTGTATCTCAAGTGTCTCCAGGATGAGGTTATGGCTTGCTACAGAGGGCCAGGCCAACTCACTGTAAACTTCAGTGTCTGTGGGCCCAGGCTAAAGCCTTAAGGATTGGACCAAGCAGGTGCCATAAATCTGAACAATTAGACAAAACTTCTACCTACAACTTCCAAGGAACTCAACAGCAGCCAAAACGGATTTTCTCATCATCTCTGGTCTCCCGCCCACCCTCCATCTCCTCCACAGTGAGAACTGAAGAACACGCTTCCGTTCCCCTCCCTCCTCTGCCTCGGAGCATAAATAACACAGTTAGTGCTTATGATAAGAGGTTAAAATGCAACTCGTTCAAACTGCCAGTAATTACAAAAATGATCTCCTGAATTCTAAATGTTTAATGAGCGTCAGCGATTTTTGCCTCTAATTGCTTTTACCTAGGACTCCCGGCTGGAAAGAATGCCTTACCTAGCTATCCCAGAGGCTCTGGATAACAGCACACACAGCAGCAGCACCAACACCCAGATCAGAGCGAGGAGGAACACGCCGGCACCCACTCCCAGCACCATGCCAGCCATCCTAGGAGACAGAGAACAGCATTAGCCTCTGGTTGGACCCCCTCCCTCTGTGTGCACCTACTGTTCAGTTAACACAGGAAGCCTGAACTCAGTATGAGGAATCTTCATGTCAGGAGGCTCACTCATGGAGGGTCTTTAATTTTCAGGAATGTCCAGCCCCAGAGTCCCTTAGTGAAAACCAAGAATGCAGAACCCAGAGCTTTCCATAGGTGTGAACAGGGGTGAGGACTGGGTGGGGGGAGTGGGGGAAGGATGGGGGTGGAGCGAGGTTGCTCTCTGCTCAACCTATGTCATTTCAAATTTGGCCTCTTCAGCTCCACTTTGACTTCTGGAGCCCACATTAGAAATCTGAGCTCTCTTCCTCCTCAAACCCTAACCAAGTCTTCTCCGAAGGCTGCAGAAAGCCAAGGTTTCAGTTAAACCAGAGGTATGAACTTGGACTCAGAAGGCAATCACAAGACAGAAATTTCCACTCTGTTGTCAACTTCTCATCCACGGAAGGAAGAAAACATCCAGTACCTAAAAGAACAGACATCGCCCCTTTGGGTACTTATGATCTGCTAAATGCTTTACAAGACCTGGCCTGTGTAGTCATGGCTTTATAAGACCTGGCCTGTGTAGTCATGGCAATCAGAAAGATATTACATCGGAGCTATACAAGAGGCAGGTTAGTGTTGGTTTCCTAGTTGTGGCTCACAACAGGAATTCCTTCTTTCGGTTCTTGAGTCCATGGGTCTAAAATAGAGGTGTCCAGGCAGCTACACGCCCCCTACAGGGTCTAAGGGAAGATGTTTCCTTGGGTCTTCCAGTTTCTGGTGACTCCAGGCATCCCCTGGCTTATGCCTCCAGTAACTGTCATCTTCACATGGCATTTCCCTTCTCTGTCTTCTGTCTGTTCCTCTCCTCTCCTCTCCTCTCCTCTCCTCTCCTCTCCTCTCCTCTCCTCTCCTCTCCTCTCCTCTCCTCTCCTCTCTTCTCCTCTCCTCTCCTCTCTTCCCCTCCTCTCCCCTCCCCTACCCTCTCCTCCCTTCTTCCCTTCCCTTCCCAGTTCATGTTTAGAGCCTCTTCCCCAACAAGCTACAATGGAATACCTCAGTCTATTTCCACTGTGTTTAAATCATCAGTCAAAGAAACCCAGAAACCTGAGGAAGAAGCTGTCTTCCCAAGATCTGTCTCTGACACTATAAAAAGGAAACTCAGGAACGTGCCCTAGAATGGTGTTGCCTCATTAGTGGAGAGAATGGTGCCCCACCCCCAAGATACCCTAACTTTGAACATCTATAAATGTGATTTAGTTGGCAAAAGGATATTTGTCCATGGGATTAGACCTTAAATCTGGTGATGATGGGCAGACAGAAGGCAGAGAAGGGAAATGTCTTGTGGAGATGACAGTTATGGAGGCACAAGGGAAGGGAAGGCTATGGGAGGGGAGGGAGGGGAGGGAGGGGAGGGAGGGGAAGGAAGTTTCTTCAACCAACATTACGCTGTGCCCACCATGGAAAGCACTGTGCCCCTACTTAGGGATGACAAAGGTATATAAGATACATATTTCAGCAAAAGCTTAAGGTCTATGAGAGAACAGCGTGATGCAAACACCTATCCATATTACATTCTTACTTGCAGCAAAAGCAAAGCATATTGAGAGCTGAGACAGTGAGCAGGATAAAGGGGGACCAGCACTTGCACACCTGGGAAGGAAGGAATCGGCGTGGTGGGATGGTAGAACAGAGGGAGTCCCTGCTTGACTGTATCCTCCCTGCAGAGCACCCTGCCCTCATTAGAGCCCCACGGACATCATGTCAGTAACTGGAGTACAGCGAGTACTTCCCTATCCTCAGATCTCTGTACTTGATGTTTCCAGAGGTAGGATTCTACTGTCAGCCCACAACAAGGCAATTTGGTTATTTGTGTGGCTGAACTGGCCTCTCCTCATAGCTCATAATATGGCTTCATCAGAGGAAGGTCACCCTCAGACAGCCCTTCCCTGATCTGCCATCTGAAGTAACTCTCCAAAAGAGATACTCTATTTCTTTCAGGGAACTTTTCACTGTAGTTAATGACCCAGGCTCTTGCACGCCAGGCAAATGCCCTATTACTGATCTTTAGCCTCAGCCTCCACAGTTAGCTCTTCTACACACTTGTTTACAAGTTCATTTTCTCTCTTATTAAGATAATAAACTCCTGAGGACAGCTGTTCGGCCCACTCCACTCTCTCCAGTTCTCAGCATAAAGATTACGTAGAACAAATATTTGCCGGTGAATACATGAAGCCATGCTGACCAGTCTGCAAAATTCAAGGGAAGGGGAGAAAAGGCCCCAGTGGCAGGGTGTAGACAGATGATGGGAACTGCTGGTTAAAACGCTACACGGGGCTAATGGGGGAAGATAGGAACTGCTGGTTCGCCCGCTGCACCAGGCTAACAGAGGAAGCGCCTTGCACAACAGCGGAAGTGCCTAGCAAAATGGAAATTTTAAAACCATAGATGTAAAAAGGTAACATTCTAAAGTGCTCTGAATTTAATGCACCCCCCAATGCCCGATGGGTAAGCAGGTATTGGGATCAAAGCTCGCAGTGATTCTGACTGGAGATGGAAGCCTAAGAGGGTTACTCCAGTAGCACCTCAGCGCATGGCGCAGGGACAGCTCGTTATGCGCAAGGACCGTTCATAACGCTGGGCCCTCAAAGGGCCAAGTCGTGTTTGAATAGACCCTGAAAAGTCGGTTAAGGACTTAGTTGAAGAAAACTGGCCAAGTGACTCAGGCCGTGGCAAAAGAAAAAGACCAACTGGAAAGAAATCTAAATCCTAACCCTACACTACCTGCAAACGCAGTTAGGGTACCTCTATTAGGCAGTGTGGGATTCCTCATAGAAACTACAATAAAAGTGAGAAACCTATAGGATCCCCAAGAGGCTAAAGTCAAGTCGCTGTTGGGGTACCACTCAGCAGGCATGCAAGGTTCCTTCAAGAATAAATCTGAGGGGACTAAGGAGGCGATTAAGTCGGTGAAGTGCCTACTGCACAAGCAAGAGGCCCCGAGTTCCAATCTCTGGCGCTCATGTAAAAGCAGTGGTGGCCATCTGTAATCCCATCACTGGGGAGGCGGGGAAAGGAGGGTCCTGGAGCTCACTGATGGTCAGTCTAGACAACTGGTGAGCTGCAGGCTCCGTGGAAAATCCTGTCTGAAAAATATGATGGAAATGTAACCAAAGAAGATACCTGGCATTGACCTCTGGCCTCTACCAGACACTTGCGTATCAGTCACGAGAACTACTATGCACACAAAAGCACTTGAACACATACATGCACAAACCCACATAAACATACACCCAACCTATACACAGAATGTTTACAGAAAAATAGATATGAAATAGGCCGGTAGGTTGGGATCAAAGGCAGAGCAGTTGCCTACCACAAATGAGGCTGTGGGTGCAATCCTCTGTGCCACACAGAGTGTGAAATTTTTAATTTTATATGATGCAGCAATGATCTTAGTAAGCACCCCAGAGTTGACTGCTGAGAGAGTCTCATTCTGGATTTTTAAAAACTTAAAAGTAGCTCTTTACATAAGTGACAGAAAAGGCGAATGAGAAAACACTGAATTTGAAAAAGATACAAGAGACGAACACTAGGAAAGCAACCACAGCGAAAGGAGGGAACGAAGGCAAAGACGCCTAATACACACAGAGCTCTCATCTTGCAGGATGAAAGTCCTGGATATTTGCTTCACAGTCACATGAACACGCTGAGCACTGCTGAACTGCACACTGCAAATGGCTAGGATGGGGAACTTCATCTTGTGTGGTTTGCCACAAAAGGGTGAAACAAAACAAAATAGTGGAGCAATATTTGCAACTTGAAAACATATGATTTGAAAGTATCAATAAGAACAGGTTTGAGAGAAATAATTTTGTCAAGAGATGTAACCTGGAGGACATATGAACCTAACCACCAACCCTCTAACCGGACAGTCAGACAAGAGCACTACAATAAATAGTATAACCAAGTTAATGGATTTTACCAGTATTTCAGAAATAGAGAAAAGAATGAGAACCAACTTCACACAGAGAATAGCTGAATGGTCAATAGATGTAAAAAGTCCTTAACTCACTTTCCACCAGAAAAATGCAAATAAAAACCAAGTGAAGAATCTCTATTTGTCTACCAGAATGGCCAAGATGATGACAGCAGTCAGGCTATAGGGACAGGGAGCATTGTGCACACAGTCCATCATACGCATGGCCGAATCCAACAATGTGGGTGAATTTCACAAGCATCAAGCCAAGGGCAGAGTAAAAACTTCATCGTAGTCTCCAATTACATAATGCTCGAAAACAGGTCCAAGGCTCCAGGGCACTGTCGGGAGTCTGTTTACCTTGAGTGACGGGATGGGGCATGGATGCTAAAACTGTTCTTTGATCTGGGTGTTGGTTACCTGACTTTGTAACTTTGGTAACCTGTATCTAGCTACACAACAGGAGATTTATGCTGTTTCTGTATGTGTTATATTTCACTACAAAACCTTTTCTGAGACGACTCGATGGTTGGTCATTGGACAGTTAATAAAATAAAGAGAGCTACCCTTTTTTTTTTTTAAAGTGAAATAAACTTTTTAAAGGGTAGTGATTTGGGCCTGGTGAGATGGCTCAGCAGTTAAGAGCACCTGACTGCTCTTCCAGAGGCCCTGAGTTCAATACCCGGTAACCACATGGTGGCTCACAACCATCTGTCATGGGATCTGATGTCCTGTTTTGATGGGCCTGAAGACAGCTACAGTGTACTCACATGCATAAAATAAATAAATCTTTGGGAGGGGGGAAGGCAGTGATTCTTTACGACACATGAATCTACCCAGTCACATACAACACACGACAGACAACAGAATGTGGTACCCAGGCATTTCGTGTCATATTAGGGGTTGTGGAGGACAAAATGAAGGTGCTAATAATGTGAAACAGGTGGTCATGAGCTCTCTCTCTCTCTCTCTCTCTCGCTCTCTCTC